AGGGGCCGGGGGAACGGGAGCCTGGGGGAACGGGGTAGGGGCTGGGGGAACACAGAAGCAGAGGCGCGGCGGCGGCGACCACATCCCCGTCCGGGCAGCCCCGGGCCTCCAGCCCACTCCCCGCGGCTGAGGCCGCTGCACCCAGCCTGAACCTGTCGCTTTCCGTCCTCCGACCCCCTGCACTTTTCCCCGCCGCACTTGCCACCCTTTTCTTCGGCAATTCCCGCTGCCTCCCAGTGCTCTGCCCTCTGCCGGCTCCCTTCGGGAAGCCGAACCGGTGCCTCCTGCCTCCTTACTCCCGTCTCCCAAGAGCCCCACGATGAGCAATTTGCACTCATGTTCCTCTCCACTGCGACCTTATCGTGTCTTCTTGGGCATCTCTTTCCGACTGCGAGCCCCTGGGCTCAACGGTGGTATTATGTCTATTTAGTTGCTCCCTAACTGGATATCCGTGAAAGAGTTTTGTAAACTGTTAAATGGTTTTTATTCGGTCAACATTTGTTGAGGCCCGGCCCCATGGCTTAGCGGTTAAGTGAGCGCGCTCCGCTGCTGGCGGCTCGGGTTCGACCCCGGGCGCGCACCGACGCACCGCTTCTCCGGCCATGCTGAGGCCGCATCCCACATGCAGCAACTAGAAGGACCTGCAGCTATGACATACAACTGTCTACTGGGGCTTTGGGGGAAAAATAAATAAATAAATAAAATTATAAAAACAAAAAAAATTTGTTGAGACCAACTCTCCTGCTCTGATAACAGCCAATACTGCTTGAGGGCTTGTATGCTAAGGGGTACACACGGATTAGTTCATTTAAGTCTTATGCCAGATCTGCAGGTAGGCGCTGCTATAACCCTGTTTTATAGAAGGAAATGGAAGACCAAAGCTGGTCAGCAGATGCTCTCACCTTGCAGTTCAGGTGCCTCTGGCTCCAGCGCCTTCATTGTTAAATGTTTCTGTGTTCATAAGCCATTCTCTGTGTTAGATACTATGAAATATTATTCCATATTTTGGAATAATTGCTTTATTTTTGTATTGATACATCTCAGGGGGCAGTGATCACATTGACTTTTTTCCCCCCTAATGCAGTAACGTGGAGTTTTTAGATTTTGATCCGAGAAAGGTATCTTAATTTTCAGATGGTAGTGAAAGAGGAAGAAGGATTCTGTGGGTTGATTTTTTTGTCTTGTCTTCAGGAATGAACTTTTCCCTCTCTTATCTATTCATTTTGGAGATAGTGCATGTCAGTTTTAAGTTGTTTCTAGCAATATCAGTGAAAGCAGAGCCTGTGGCCATGTGGCATCTCAGCATTGCAGAGGACTGTCCTGGATGTTAATGTGTGGTAGAAGTCAGTAATTGCCGGTACAGCACGGGTGTGCCATGAGCCGCTAAACCTGCCTGGACCTCAGTGGTTTTAGGGATGAAGGCAGAAAGTTCCTTTCCAGACTGAGTCATTTATCTGTTGAGAAGCTACTAGCCAGGGGATATCATGGCGAATGGGACAGGCGGGGGTCCTGCCCTGTGGACTGCTCTCCTTTGAGGGCTTCGTGATTTGTAGGCTGGGCGGGGCATGCAAAGGCCAGAGAGGCAGTAGCAATCTACTTCATAGTTAAAAGATGTACCCTAGTAGTGAGCACCCATCAAGGGAAGCTTATGTTCTGGAGGCTTCCATGCAGTCATTTTTTCATTCAGTGAGCTTCCCACACTGTTCCTGCCACACAAGGAGGAGAACCAGATAACAAATGAGTTTATGGCATGTTAGGTGGTTATATATGAGGTATGAAGGAGAAGGACGCAGGACAAGGGAAGTGGAAAATAAAGAGAAGGGACTGGAGAAACATAAATGCCGTGCTTTTTAGGTGGGATACTCGACTCCTGAAGGAAGTGAGTGAGTGAATGGGTGCTCGCTTGCAGATTGAATAGCAGCTGCCTGTGTGAATTTGAGACACAGACCAGGGTCACCTGATTCATTATTTGACCGGAAAGAAAGGACAGTGCACTTTGCCTGTTTAAAGGAGACCTTGGTGTGCCCAGCCTCACTCTTGTCTTGGCTTTCCATATGCAAAGACCAATTTAAGAAGCTATCCAAACCAGACACCAAGAACTGATGGTAGACTTGTGTCTTTGAGAGCTGCATCTGACCTAATGGGGTCTCCTAACCAAATCAGAAAAGGACTAACTCATGAATTGAAATGAAGGAATTGCATGTTTTATCAAGTGTCGGAGGCCTGAAGGGTCGTACTTTGTACCCTCGGGCTGTTGGTCATCTGATAACTCTTTTGAACCACCAGCGCTGCTCTCTGTTTGGGGTGGTGGTGGAGAAACCCTGTGAGGTTTGGGCGCCAGAATTCTGTCCTACACATCCAGCTCTCAGCTGTCTTACTGCAGGCACTCACCTCGCTGAGCTTCCGCCCTTCCACCCGCTTCCTCAGGATAGGCGGTGAGGGTCAGAGGAGGCGACAGAAGCACCTGGCATCCAGCACCTTCCATACTCCTTTGTCTAGACATCTTGTCACAGTAACACACTTCTGTGACATCTTTATAGTTGCATTATTCCTTCCACATCAGTTTTGGTGCCGTTGTGCGGGGTGAGTTGCTGAAGCAGGGAGGTTTTGTTCGTGGTGCAGAAGTTCCAGGTAGCTTCCTCACCATTACTGGCTACATGTCCTTTCTAAGCTTCCCTATTTGGATTTTTCCCTGATTTTAATATCTTTCTCATAGCTTACCTTACTTTTTAGTCCACTATCGCCTTTGAGAGGAATATTTGAATAATTTCACTTACTAGCAAGTTAATCATAGGGGAATGAATTTACTTTGGGGAATAGCCTGCCTCACCATGAAAGATGGCGCAGCTAGAATAACGCAGGTGTCATCACTTTGATTATAATAAAATATTGGGGATAACCCAGGTCTTTGGTCATGTTGGGATTTTGTTGAATAGGAGTAATCCTGGGTTATTGAGTGTGCTCAGGTTTTGTTTTTTAGTGTGGTAGCTTTTATTGTGCTCGTTGTTGCAATAATGGCTTTTGACCTGTAATAGTGGAAAACCTAAGTTGTCTCTAGTCCTGTCCTTAATTGATGTTAACTATTGTTATTGGCTTATGGTAAAAACTGGCATTTTCCTTCTTATAGACTGAAAAAAATACAGGTCTGGAAAAGCCTTTGCTTTCCTTGGCCTGACAAAAACACTAACCTTTGGCTGATAAAAAACAAATCATAGTATCCTTTGATTTTTTAAATTTCACGTGATTTTAATCTTTGAATTGTGTTTGTTTATGAGGCTCTAATAGTTTCAGTGACCACTGGGCCAGCCCCATGGCTTAGCGGTTAAGTGCGCGTGCTCCGCTACTGGCGGCCCAGGTTCAGGGCCCGGGCGCGTACTGACGCACCGCTTCTCCGGCCATGCTGAGGCCGCGTCCCACATACAGCAACTAGAAGGATGTGCAACTATGACATACAACTATCTACTGCGGCTTTCGGGGGGGGAAAAAAAAGGAGGAGGATTGGCAATAGATGTTAGCTCAGAGCCGGTCTTCCTCAGCAAAAAGAGGAGGATTAGCATGGGTGTTAGCTCAGGGCTGATCTTCCTCACAAAAAAAAAAAAAAAAATAGTTTCAGTGACCAAAATTGCATCAGGCAAGAAATGGTTGGGTTTTTTTTTTGAAAGTTGTAGCTATAAAAAAATCTTTATGCATTTCTGCAGTGAATTTAGTTCCTGTTTATCCTGTTTGAATCATATTTTTAATGGGACATTTAATGGGATAAATAAGGCAGCAAGCTCACACCTCAGCCCATGGAGTTGCAGAAGCAGCTAATCCTGTCTCCCTTTTCATATCTCCAGGAGATCCGCTTTCAGCAGATGGCTCTGCAGGTGAGACTGACACCATTTTCCCAGTGGCTGTGTTCAAAACCACCCAGAGGTACCTCTCTGTCTTCTACCATCGTTAGCAGCACAAGGTTTGCAGGAACCGAGTGTGGCTTCCTCAGTGTCTCCCCAAAGTGAGGAGCCAGGGGGTGGGGCATGTGATGACTCAGGATGCACCCACCTCCCCCTTTTCTTGCTTCCGTATTGAACCACACTTAGCTCTTCCCATTTCTGGGTCACTGCAGTGCTTTTTCATGTCTTCATGGGTTGGATGTCTCAGAGAAGATGGTGAAAGAGAAACTCTTTCAGAAGGAAGTTGCTAGGTGAATCTTTTGGTTTGTTTCCACACATGTGTGGGCCAGCCGAGCTGAGTCTCATGTTTGGAAAGCAGAACAGAGACGATATACAGACTGCAGTTGGCTGGAACACATCTGCCCCTTGGAGCAGGCTGTGGGCCTGTGCTCAGTGCCCTGCCCCCTGGAGGCCGTGTGTGTGGAGGCTTGAGTAGAAGGTACTTCCCCGCACTTCCTGTTTATCCTATCATTGGGACTTGGAGGTGCATGTTTATTGCACCAAGCAAGAAGTCAGGAAGGAAAACTGGCTTCTCTTTTACTCTCCTTATCTTGGCGGACAGCATGGTTGTTTATCTGAGTGTGATGTGTGCTTTTAAAGTGCTAGAACCTCATGGTTTTGTCCCTAAGGGTTTGAGAAATTCTTTGAGTAGAAGAAACACAGACTTAGGAAAAAACAACTCCAAAAAAGGTAAAAGGGCCAATTTGACAAGTCAGACTGTCAAAAGTTTTACATTTGAGGGGCCAGCCTGGTGGCGCAGTGGTTAAATGCGTGCTGTCTGCTGCAGCAGCCCAAGGGTTCACAGGTTCGGATCCCGGGTGCTCACTGAGGCATCGCTTGTCAAGCCATGCTGCGGCGGCATCCCATATAAAGTAGAGGAAGATGGGCATGGATGCTAGCCCAGGGCCAGTCTTCCTCACCAAAAAAAAAAAAAAAAAAAAGTTTTACATTTGAGTATTTTTAAAGCATTCACTATTTTTTGAGTTACTCGCCTTGGGAGGTGACAGGCAGGTGGGCCCATGCGTGTGTGATGTTGGCATTCTCTTCCCTTTGCTTGTTCATGGATGTGGCCGACACTCCCAAGTCATGCCATCCTTTGTCTTCATTGCTCTGTGCCTCCTGAGCTTGTTTGGATTCTAAGCCTTGGCATACCCATCTTTTAAATTATGTCAGAGTTTGGTGATGTGGATTGGTGAAGTCAGTATTTATCAGATGTGTTTCTCCTGCGAAATGTCTCCTGCTCAGGTACCCAAGAGCAAGGAATAGGAAGAGGCCCATAAAAGCATCTTGAGAGGTGTGTACATGCTTTGCTACAAATATAACATTTCTTTGAAGACTCGTGCTTTGTTCTTAAAATTTATGCAGATTTTTACTCTATCCCATAATATGTTTGGCCATTCCTGGGGTCACCTAGGCCTCCGGGTTTCCATGGCTTTGTTTTGGGTTGTTGTAGTGGCAGTGTGTACGTGACGGGGCAGCACCATGGCTTGTTTGTCCTGGAACCTTTATGAATGTCATGCTTCCTGCCCAGGCCCCGCCATTTTCTGTCATTGACTGGCTGTGAAGAAACATGGCCGTGGATGGATCGCCTGCCTGAGAAAGTGATTGCCTTCTCAGAAGCCTCTGTCTCACTACCTTTTCCTTACTTGGGAAGTTGTTTTGTTTTGTTTTGGGTTAGTTTCCCAGGTTCTTATGAACAATGCATTCCTGTGTATCTCCTCTACTCTTAGTACTTCACTCTGGTTACAAATGTGTGTGTGGGGAGGTCTTCCCCCACCAAGCAATTCTGCCACACTGGCTGGGTGTCCTACATCTCAACTCAACTCTGACTCGGTCTACTTGGAGTTAGCTTCAGATCCCACAGGTAAAAGGCTCAGTCCTGCAAGACTGTGCCTACCCCACACTTCAGACATCAGTCACAAGTCCACGTTGTCAGCTGTGCTTCTGACCAACTGTCTGTAAGTCGGAGGTTCCTACAACCCTCTCTCCTCCAGTTCCGTTAATTTGCTAGAACGGCTCATAGAACTCAGGAAAGCAGTTTACTTACTAGATTACTGGTTTATTACAAAGGATATTAAAGGATATGAGTGAACAGCTAGATGAAGAGATACATGAGGCGAGGTCCAGAAGGCTCCCTAGTACCCTGAGCTTCTGTCCCCTTGGAGTTTGGAGTCGGCCACCCTCCAGCATGTGGATCTGTTCTTGTCCAGCAACCCAGAAGCTTTCAAAACCCTGTCCTTTTGTGTTTTTGTGGAGGCACCATTGCATTGGCATGATTGATTAAATCATTGGCCATTGGTGATTGATTCCACCTCCAGCCCCTGTCCCCTCCCCGGAGGTGGGAAGGGTGGGACTGAAAGTTCCAACCTCTAATCATTGGTTGGTTCCCCTGGCAACCAGCCCCCATCCATAGGGGCTTTCCAAAGTCACCTCTGGTGTGGTTGGAAGGGGCTTGATATGAATAACAGAAGACATATTTATCTCTCTTATTACTTAGGACATTACGGAGGTTTTAGGAGCTCCTGCCAGGAAGATCAAATGTATGTATCTTATTATAATTCAATATTACAGAGCTCAAACAAAGCTAACTACCTGGCAGATACCATGATAGCAATTATTTGCCTTTACTTCATGTTTTTCCCCTTGTCATTTTTGTGTGTGCTAAAGTACCTTTGAAAATTTTAGTCAGAAGTATAGTTGATTTAGTTACAAGGGAGAGGACAGGTTTTTTCCTTGGATGTGCCCAGCTTTCTAGGACTGTTCAAGCCTCCTGACCCATAGATTGTACGTGGAGGAAATGAGGCATCAGACCACAGATGGGCATGTCCCAAGTCAGACCCATCTTCCCCAACACTTTCTTTGCACCTGATAGAAGGGTGGGTGGCCTCAGGGGTGCCTCTGGGGCTGGAGTTGTGTCATCTGAAGTGTTATGTACGTTACATGCGTATGTTGCAGGAAGAGGCCTACAGGACTGGATTCAGTCATTCAGTGTCTGGGTCACAAGTGTTCTGAGGAGGGGGCATCGTGCCTGAGAGCTGGTGATGTGCATTCTGGTTTTCTTGAGAAGCGGGACCTCCACAGAAAGTTCATCTCTGCCAGCCTCACTTCGTTTTCTTCCTTCCTTTCTGTTCTCCACCTAGTGGCGTGGAGAGGTGACTATTACCCAAGAAAGATTTACTATTTTTTTTTTTTAATAATTTTATTTATTTATTTCCCCCCCCAAAGCCCCAGTGGATAGTTGTATGTCATAGCTGCACATCCTTCTAGTTGCTGTATGTGGGACGCGGCCTCAGCATGGCCGGAGAAGCGGTGCGTCGATGCGCGCCCGGGATCCGAACCCGGGCCGCCAGCAGCGGAGCATGCGCACTTAACTGCTAAGCCACGGGGCCGGCCCCAAGATTTACTATTGAAGCTCAGTTCTGGAGCCAGCAAGGTGAAATGTGAGGACTTTTACCTGTATCTGAAGCTACTTCTCAGCAGTATCTACTGTTTTCCCCAAGAAGGCAAGTTATGCAGGGCAGAGCATTCAAGAGCATAAGAAGCACGGGGTTTCAGCAGGAGGGTATGAAGTGTCGTTTATTTAAAAGTAACACCTCCTGGTTCATGCCTGGCATGTGTGCACCAGTCACTGGTGATTTCATAGAGATTTTAATAAATTGTCTTAAATTTCCATCTTGTCTGGAAACGCCTGGGGCTGGTATGGTCTGGCAGTCTCCACCACGCTAACTCGAGCCCTGACCTGAGCAGAGCACCACAGGTTTTCCTCTCACCTTTCAGAACAAGACACCTGCACGTTTCAACTCTGCCCCTCACCGACCCCAGCCTCTTCTCCTGTTCCCTGTTTATCTCTGGAAAGCACCAGTGTTAGGAAAATTGTATGTTGGAAAGTTATATCTGATTGTTTTCTGAGTTCACACTTTGTTTTCTCTTAGGAACTGGTGAACCAAAAGATGCTGGGCCTGGAGCGAGTGGAGGCAAGAGAGGAGGGAAGCAGGATGACTTTGCCTGGTGGAAACGGATGCAGAAGGTTTGTGCATGTCCGAGAACCAGACCCTGTTGCTTTCTCAAGGAAGTAGTTACTGCAGCTCAGGCTTTGTACAGTCTTTCTGTTTGTTTTAGAGCAAACTGATTCAGAGATTCTAAGAAATGAATTTAATTTATAAAAATGTGGAGATTTCCATCTGAATTTTAAAAGACCCAGATAAGAGATAACCCCAGAAGTGATGGCTCTGAAGGCAGAGCTCTTTGTGGAGGTTCTGCGCCTCCTGGGTGCTCTGTGAGCTGCAGTTTTTGGTGTTTTCATGCCCCGTGCAGAGGGCTTTCCTCCCGAGAGGATGGGCCTTGGCTTTCCCACACACACAGGCCGCATGGAGGATGTGAGGAGGGAGGGTTTGGACAACTTCTTTCGAGGCGTCTGAAGAAGGAAGCAGCTATTTTCGTGAAGGAACCACCTCGTTTAACTGTCAAACGTGTTCTTCTTCCACAGGGCGAGTTCCCCTGGGACGATAAGGATTTCTGCAGTCTGGTTGTTTTGGGGGCAGGTGTTGCCATGGGATTTTTCTACTTGTATTTTCGAGATCCTGGGAAAGAAATCATGTGGAAGCACTTCGTGCAGTATTACCTGGCGAGAGGTCTGGTGAGGGGAATTTATAGTCTGTCTACCCTAGAAGGAGGTGGTGCCCACGGTGGTGCACGTGGTCTGTGAGCGCGAATCCTGAGCAGTCCCAGCCTCAGGTACAGACAAGACACAGTTTTGCTTTTTCCAGTAATGACTCCACCGAACACTGTCACGCCCAGTTTCTTGCTATGTGGAGGTCCCTTGACGTCATGGCTGACTTCCTCTTTGCTTTGCTTTTGCTTCTAAGACTTAGTTCTGTTTGTTTATTTATCTTTGAGTTTCGATCTCATGTCTGATTCAGAGCTTTTCTCCTCTTAATGCACCCTGCCTCACTGGCTGGCCCTGCACAGCGTGGGCCAGCACTGTCGACCCTGGGCTTTGTGTCGCCAGCAGAGCCCTCCTTGTCTTGTCCTTCCCAGGACGTGGGTTAGTCCTTCAGGATGCTGAGGTCAAGTGAAGTGCGGCTCAGGCTTATGTAAATTTATACAAGAGCAGAGGCCTTGCTCCCCTCTTGCTCTAAATAACACACTGTTAAGATCTAGACTTCCTTCTGTGTGATGATGTCCGTAGGAAACTGTTACTTCCCACACGCAAACTGTTACTTCCCCTGTTGTCTGCCCGCACGCCTGTCCTCAGGCGGGTCCTTGATAACACTCCCTGCAGTGTGAGGGAAGAGCTATCGCAGCCCTCCTCCGCCCAGGACCTGCCATCTGCAGGTGCGGCCGTGAGGAGGGAGACAGGTGTCCTCCTGTCCATGCATTCTGGACAGATTGCAGAGTTTCCTAGAGGTCTGACATGGCTGACATTGACATACTCGTTCTAAAAGGCAGCCTGGAAGGGCGAAGTAATCCCTGCCTAGCCTATCTAACACAGCCTTGTGCTCAGCTCCTGTGGTGTGTAGTGGGGCAGCCTCTTGCCTGGCTAAGTTAGACCTGAAACCTGATCCTGCTCACTTAGAGGAACTTTCATGTAAGCTGGAAAAGGCTAGCGTGTGAATATGAGTGCTGTGTCCTCTCACAGCCCCTCCTGAGTTCTTCTGAGGAAATCACCTAATAATATCGTAGGATATCATAGAAATAAGTTAACTTATGCACAGCCACCCCTGAACCCTCATGCATTTCCAAGCCTGTGGCATGGAACAGACATTGTTTTGGGGGATAAGAGACTACAATACCCTAAAACTTCAGTAGCAGTCTTTGTTTTAAAGCAGCTTTGTTGTTTTTCTTGATTATAAATGGAATACATGCTTATTGTAAAAAATACTTGGGAAATAAATAGAAGTATAAAGAAGGAAATCACCGTCCTGTGATAACCAAGATTGGCCTTTCATTGTGACCCTCCTGGCCTGCAGATGCGTAGATGCTCACGATCTCATCCCCTGCACCTTTGACCTCACCGTGTCCAGTCACGCACTCAGGTGATGGTGCACTGTGTTGGAGAAAGCATGACAGGTCAGCTGGGCAGTGTCCAGAAAGAAAAAGATTGCAGCGTGATGAGGGGCAGAGAGGATACCCTGTGCTCTTGTCTCATTAACGTGAAGGAGTTGCTATCTGGGGACTCTGCATGTTGCAGAAGGGAAGCTGGGACGTTCAATTACTTTGACTACTTTTTTTTTTTTTTAATTTTCTTTCTTTCTTTATTTTTTCCCCCAAAGCCCCAGTAGATAGTTGTACGTCATAGCTGCACATCCTTGTAGTTGCTGAGTGTTCACCCTACCTGGGTGGCTGTCTGTGCGGTCTGTGGTCATGTGGGTGCTGTACATTCAAGGTGGTGGCCGTTTTACTTTTCAAGGAATGTAGTAGTCTAGAATTTGTCAACGGATTCTTTGAGGGATGGGAGGCGGAGAGGGGTGTCTGAATGCAGGCCCTCTGACACTCTGTAGAGGTTTGATGTTAAACTCACCTTGCTCCTAAGCTTTGGACCTGATGGCAGGGCTCCTCTAGAACTTCCTTGAAGGGCAGGACGGAGGTGGTTTCCATGTTAATCCTAGGGATGGCCCCCTGGTTGGTGGTGGGCCCCAGGGGTTTCTTCTCTTCCCACACTATTGTAGAGAGACCAATGGTCAGAGCAGGGCAAGGATGGTCTAGGGTGCTCCAGGGTGGCACCTGGAAGGGTGGGGACTCTGCTCAGGGAGTGATGAGGGCCTTGCCCAACTGTGTGTTGCAGGTGTCCATCATTCTGCGGGGCAAGGGGCTTGGCTACGCCCAGTGCTTGCCCAGGGAGCAGTACCTGTACACGCAGGAGCAGCTCTTCGACCGCATGTGCACGATGCTGGGGGGCAGGGTGGCCGAGCAGCTCTTCTTTGGGCAGATCACCACAGGGGCCCAGGACGACTTGAGGAAGGTCACCCAGAGCGCCTACGCCCAGGTAAAGGACAGCGACCCTGGCGAGGGGCTCTACGCAGCCGAGTCCAGCCAGGCTTACCCTTGGCTCCTTGCTCACTTCCACATTGTGCAGTTTGGGATGAGTGAAAAGCTGGGCCAGGTGTCCTTTGACTTTCCCCGGCAAGGTGAGATGCTGGTGGAGAGGCCGTACAGCGAGGCTGCTGCCTAGCTCATCGACGAGGAGGTGCTGCATCTCATCAGCTCTGCCTGTGAGCGGACCCTGGACCTGCTGCCGTGGGGCCGGGACCAGGTGGACAAGGCGAGTGGGCACACCCATCCTTGTGGGACACTTGGGTTTGGGGCCTGCCTGTGGTGGTGCCGACTGTCCTGGGAGTGGCTGAACAGACTCCTTCAGAGCAGCCTGATGGGCAGCCGTGATTTCCATGTGGGCAAGCGGCTGCTGGAGAAAGAGGTGCTGGACAAAGCCGACATGGTGGAGCTGCTGGGCTCCCGGCCCTTTGTGAAGTCCACCTACGAGGAGTTTGTGGAAGGCACTGGGAGCCTGGAGGAGGACATGTCCCTTCCCGAGGGGTTGAAGGGCTGGAACCGGGGGCAGGAGGAGGGGAGCATGGAGCACTTCGTGCGGGAGAGCCTGGCTTAGTGACTCTGCCTTTGAAAGCAGCTGTCAGAATCACCAGAAAACAAATTAAAACGTGATAACAGCAAATTGGCATTTTAGATGAGGGCACTCTGAACCCACAGGGATGCCCGCTCCCAGAACATGGCCTTCCCCCGAGAAGGGAGCTGGGACCCTGTTCCTAGAGGACAGGGGTCCTGAGTCAGAGGGGAGGGCAGCAGGCCATAACTCACCCACTGCCCCGGGGAGCAGAGGGCATTGTGTCTTCCTGGAGAGCCCTGAGTGTCAGATGCTTGCGGGCCTCCAACAAGATGGGGCGCATCTGGTGGGGACAGCACCTCATGGAGAGGTGTAAGTGCTGGTCACCATGATTCCCCAAGGAGAGGAGGCTTTTGGCTCAGTTCAGAAATGCTCGGGATTTGGTGAGGTGGCGGAATTAAGAAAAGGAAATTATGAGCCAGTTATCAAGGGAAAGTGTTAGTCTTTTTTTTGTTTTAGTGAGGAAGATTAGCCCTGAGCTAACATCTGTTGCCAATCCTCTTTTTTCTGAGGAACGTTGGTCCTGAGCTAACATCTGTGTCCATCTTCCTCTATTTTATATGGGACACTGCCACAGCATGGCTTGATGAGTGGTGTGTAGGTCCACTTCCAGGGTTTGAACCCGCAAACCCCAGGCTGTAGAAGCGGAGCGCCGGAACTTAACCACTATGCCACCTGGTTGGCCCTAGGTGTTAGGTTTTTTTTTTTTTTTTTTTGTGAGGAGGACTAGCCCTGAGCTAACATCCGATGCCAACCCTCCCCTTTTTTCTTGAGGAAGATTGGCCCTGGGCTAACATCTGTGCCCATCTTCCTCTACTTTATATGGGATGCTGCCACAGCATGGCTCGACAAGCGATGTGTCGGTGCGCGCCTGGGATCTGAACCTGCGAACCCCGGGCTGCTGAAGTGGAGCACACGCACTTAACCGCTTGCGCCACCGGGCCGGCCCCTAAGTGTTAGGTTTTTAAAATAGCCGTTTGGGTTGGTGGAAGGCCTGTCAGTCCTTATGGAGGAAACGCAGCACCTCCCAGAGGGGTGTGGTTAGGCGGGATGGCGGAGCCATGGGGGAGCTGAGTCTCCCAGCACCTGGGCTGAGCGCGAGAGAGGCAGTTTCTCAGAACCTGGCACCCATCCTCAGGGCAGGGGCCTTACTGACAGGGTGTGTCTGGATTCAGTTCCCTTCTCCAGTAACCTGTGTTCCTTGCAACCCTTTAGAATCACGGAGAGGCTCTGGGCTGACATGGGGGTCCTGCTGTCACCACCTGTTAACTCTCTTCCTGGTGTCAGGCAACCTGTTAACTCTCTGCCTGGTGTCAGGCAGCTGGCAGACGAGAGGAGAGCCAGTTCCGGGTCGTGAGCTCTAGGTCTGATGCCTTACACTTGTCCAGTTGGCTCTGGAGCGGGAATGGCTCCGCACTCTGGGAGCTGGAGTCAGGACCAGGAGCCTGGGGTTAATGGAGATGTCCCAGCGCACAGCCTGCCGCCTGAAGTCATCAGAATCACAACAGTAGTGGGGTATCAGCTGCTGCCTTGGTGGGGGGGTGGGCGGGCGGATATCTCTGTCATCTGGCGACCCCTGTCGGCTCGCCCCACCTGCTGCTTGGGGCGTCCTGGGGGGACTGGCTGGGAGGAGGGGGTGGCCTCTCTTGATGCCCCACTTGCCCACTGCTTTTGGCCTGGCTAAGACCAGACACTGGGACTTGGTCTTAAGTTTTCTAAATCATTTGTTATGTTTGCCTCAAAAATAGAATTTCCAACTAGGGACAAGTACTTTTGACTTTTGTTGTTTGTAAAATTTGCATTATTTGCATTATTGAATTTTTTACATCTTCAGGGCTTACCCTATAATGCAGTATCCACCAGACTCGGCCTCCATTAGCTGAGTGGCTTGGGGGTCCTGCCAGGGTCCTGTCTGGGTGCTCCCCTCAACCCCAGGAAGGCCCCATGGCGTCCAGAGTCTGGGAGTCTCTCTTCTGAGGCTGGGTGCAGCCCCTCTCTGAGTCCAGGGCACACACCTGGGCTCCCTCCCAACCCTTGCCCCACCTCCACCCCACCACAGTGCCCCCTGCTTGGGCTCCCTCCCTTCAAGTCTCCTCAGCTCCTTCTTCCACCTCCCACCCCGTTTGGGCCGTCATGTCACCTGGGCGCACACTCCCCGGCTTTGAGTTAGTTCCTGGGCCCATGGATGGAGACCTGCTGAGAATCTTCTGTCAGGGAGACTGGGGACTCCCTCCTGAGCCCAGGAGGAGGAACCACCTGGCACCACCAGGGTCTGTTCTCTGGGCCCCTTGTCTTACAGATGGTTAAATTAGGGTTTGGGCCTCGTCCTTGGCCTTCTGCTCACACAGGGGCCCTACCTGCTGGCCGCCTCCCCGTGATAAGCCTGTTGTCCTGGGCTGGGAAGAAACTCCAGGGACACCTTGTTCTGCTTCCTGGGCTTGTGTGGGGGCAGGATCTTCACTTCCTTAATTACCAGAAATCCAGGGCAGTTGTCCCTGAAATGTGACCCAGATAAGCAGCCCAGAGGGCGGCACAGCAGAGCCCCCAGTGGTTCCAGCTGGAGAAAGACTAGAGCATGGGCCTTGCTCCTCAAGCGCATGCCCCTGCCCTGCAGCACGCACCCCTGAGCTCTGGGGTCAGCTGAAAGGAAGAGACCTGGTCAGGCCTTAGGATGGGTGACGTTTTAATCCCACTTTTTGTCAATGAGATCTGCGGAAGCTGCAGCAGAACAGATGGGAATTGGGCAGGAAGACCCCGGTGGGTAGGGTGGGATCGGTTTTAAGTGAAATTCTCGGTTGTCTGGTCCACATCCCTCGTAGTGATGCTCTTCGTATGTGGAGGGCAGGGGTGGTGGCCGCCAGGCCCTGGCATGGCAGGCCAACTCCTGTGTTTCTGACGCCTGTTTCTTGGCTGGGACTTGCTTTTAGCTGCACACAGTGGGTCCAGCGCATGCCCAGGGCTCCCACAGAAGAGCCCGTCTTCCTTCCCCAGAAACGTTGTAGTGGGGAACGGTCAGGGCAGGTTGGCTTGGGGACAGAAAGCAAGCTGACACTTACTTTAAAACCATTCTTGGACTCGCTGTCAGACCAGAAGCCTATTCTGTCCCTTAGCAGGTAAAAAGCAGCATTGAGAATAGCTGAGCCTGGTGCCCCCGAATTGGGGGCCAGGGGCTGTGCCCAGGTCCCCTCACATCCCCACCCACCTCAGGCTGCTCCACCCCAAGCCAGGATGCTGGCAGGGTACTCAAACCCACGGGTGTGGAGATGTGTCACGGGCAAGGGACAGGGAGAGGGTGAACCCCACCTGCCCCCTCCTCCTGCCCAGCAGTGGGAGGCAGTAGTGCCATATTTGGTGTTCTGAACTAGGAGGGTGGGCCCTGCTGTCACGCAGAGACCAGGACAGGCAGGGTTTTAGGGCCTGGGGATGGGGCCCTGGTGTCGACATTGTTCCCTGGGCTGCAGGAAGGGGACAGGATTGAAATCAAGGTGGCAATTTTAAGGACTCCCCACCCACATACTCCCTGGGTGGGAGCTCGGCGGGGCCACTCACAGACCAGAACCCTGAGACCCCATCTGCAGAGCGGCTCTGCCGACCCAGGTCCCCCTCTCCCAGAGCCCACTCGGGGATCCTGTGACAGACTAGAGCACCGGTCCTACAGACAGAAGTTTCCAGAAGGCCCACGCCACTCCCATCTCATCCCCAGGCGTTGTGGTCCCTGATCCAGGGACCAGGAAGGAGCTGGACATAAGGCCATTGGGCTGTGCTTGTGCTGGGGCGCCCTGAGACCCCGGCCTGGAGCCACGTGGGGCGGGTGGAGTGTCCCCAGGGTCATGACTGTCTTGAGTTTCCCCACCTCAGCCCTGAGGCCGGCCCGCCTAGTCCTCCTTGGGCCTCTCCACGGTGAGAAACGTGTCCACAACTGCTGGCTGCCCCTCAGCGTCACTGAGGGGCTGCTTCTCACGGTTCTTCTCAGCTCTGGTGCGCGTCCAGGAGGGCGAGCGCAGACAGCCGGCCCGGGGCAGTGGGTGCAGGCCTGGTGGGAACACGAGGGTGGGGGTCAGCGGGACTGGGGTCCCCTGTGTGTCTGCATCATGGGGTCCGGCTGCACATTGGGGTCTCCTGGACGCTTATAAAACACACAGGTGCTGGGCCACCAGCCATGCGGACCTGTGGGTCTGGGTGTGGCCTAGCCCAGAGCAGCCGACCACCCCCTTGCCCTCCCAGGGTGCAGGCTCCACAGGGCTGGGGTCTGAGGCCCTGACCCACCCCTCCACCCCCCGCCTACGTGAGGTGCGAGCAGGGAGGGAGGAAGGCCACCGGGCCCTCACTGGCTGCCTTGCTGTTTCTGAGGCCTTCAGGGTCTTCGGCCAAGGGCAATGCTTCCTTGAGAATCGCAAGGGAAATCCAGTCAGGGCTGAGCTGAGGAGGGCCCAAGCAAATGCTACCCCCTTTGTGCTCGGCCTAACTTGTGATTAAATTCACATTTAGTAAATTCTTCCTTCCATGGGACTGTGGTTTTGGCCTTTTGTTGGCGTTTGAAAAGTAGAATTGAGGAGGGGTAGCTGTAACAGGAGGAAAATTCCTTAAAGTTGGGCAAATAGGTAAGTAAAATGCAAAAATGCTGAATGAAATGGTAGAATGGTTATACTTAAAACACACTTGAGATAAAGTTATTTTCAAAAAGAGGGTTTTGCAGGGAGCAGTGTTCGGGGGTGGTTTTGCAGGGAGCAGTGTTCGGGGGTCTTGGGCCCCAGGACTTCCCCACACCGCCCACTATGCCCCAACTGCAGCCCCACCTGCCGGTGACTCGCTGGTCAGGTTCTCGTCATCCGAGTCAGCAAAGACCTCAGCCAGCTCCTGGTCGGACATGTCGGTCAGCTCGGTGAGGTCCAGGAGGTCAAAGTGCACCTCCAGGGAGGAGACGCTGCTCAGGGGCTCTGGGGGCAAAGGGGGCCAGTCATTGGCACAGTCTCTCCACCAAGAGCCCCCCCACGAGGCCCAGGGAGGAACCAGAACTCTGGGTAAAGCCCAGGAGGTCAGGATAAGATGGGGCACACCCAGATCCCACTGTCTACCCTCCACACTCAAGACTAAGTGCCTTCTGCGGTACCCATGTCTACAGATGGTACAGCCAGGGCCCCCCCAACCAGAGAAGTGTTTGGACGGGATGTGTGCCCCCGTTTCCCATGGGAGCCCACGGGTCCCCATGGAGTGTGCTGGGCAGGTCGGCTGTACTTACGCCTCCTCTCCGTGACCTGCAGGAGCCCCGGTGCCGGTATTGGGATGCCCACCTCCTCCTCGCCCACAGGCGAGTGGCAGCTGTCCCCCGTTCCAGGGGCCGGGGTGCCCAGGGCAGCCTTTGGCACCTCACCTTCCTTAACTGTGTCTGCAAAAAGATGTTAACCCGAGAGGCGACATGGGGCTTCTATACCCTTAGGACAAGACACAGGAGCTCCTACACCCAGAAGAGACGGGGGTTCCCACACCCTACAGGATGCAGGCAGGGAGGACTAGAGAACTTGGCTCATGGAGCCCTCCTTTGAGGCTCTGAGCAGTGACCAAGGGTGGCCTCAGGCCAGGACCCCAGACAAGGGGCTGGGGGGCTTCTCCATGGTGGCCTCCTGCTGTGGATGAGGAATGGGATGACCTGCAGACCCTTGCCCTGCATACTTGAGCACAGGCTGTGCAGGTCTCATGGGGACTTCCTTGCGGGCCCATCAGCTCAGAGCCCCCAGTGCCCCAACACTGTCACCTGTTTCTACTTTTTGTTCCAACCCAGGGTCCAGTGGTCACTCGTGCATTTCCTTGCCCATTGGCTCCTTTAACACAGAATGGCCCCTGCTCATCCAGCTGTCCTCTGTGGACCGACTTTTAAAAAAAAAAGATCTATGTTGTTTTTGAATTCAAAGTAATACATTCTCACAAAGAGTTACAGAACAGGAAGAAGTAGCAGACCCCTCGCCACCAGCCTCACCTCACCTTGGGGGAATGTTCCTCCAGGTTTTTTCTATGCAATTATTATTTTTTTAAATATAATTACTTGTTTTTCATATTTAACAATTTTTTGTCAGATAAGAGCAGGAGGCCCCTTGGATATCTGCTTGGTGGAGACTGTGCCACTCGGTGATGGGACCACGGCCCCACAGAAGTGCCAACCTCACCCTTCTCTTGCTGGGGCTGACACCTGTCCTGTCAGCTCACACCCCTCCATCCACACCTCTTACCAGCTCCTCCTCCAGAATGTCCAGAGCCCACTGGCATCTCCCCCTCCACAGCTGCCGGACTCCATTACCCCCACACACAGCCTGAGGGTCCCCTGAGCCAACTGGACCCCTTGGCTCCCCGATGTCACCACTGTGGCCCTGTTGCCGCCCTCTCCCAGGACTCCTCCCCACAGATCCCCACCACCCCTCAGCTGAGGGATCCCTGGCTGAGCAGGTTCTTGGTAAGGACTGGAGTGGACCAGTGCCTCCCTGCCGCAGGGCTCTGCCCGTCCCACGGGGTGAATGCTGAGAGCAGGGCGGGGATGAAGCCCCAGGAGCCGCTGCCTCCAGCGTTGTGCCGAGGGGGGCCCAGCTGGGGCCCTCAGTGCCGACATCTGCCTGTGTGTCCCCCCCTGACAGTGTGGTCAGCAGCCTGGACGCCGGCCAGCTTGTGGGTCTGGAAGGTCCCCAGCTGAGTGGGAAGATAATGATATCGATTTGCAGCTGCAGAGCTGGTTGGCGTGGCTGAGGGAAGGTGGGCCTGCTGACCAGTGGCCTGCTGAGCTCTGCTCGTGCTGTGTTATCACATGGGCCGGGGCTGGCCAGGCCAGATGGGGGCTCAAGAGATCCAGTTTCCTCTTCTCGGCAGCATTTGGAATGTGGCTTCTGAGCATCCTCACAGGGTAGAGTTACACCCACCAGCATCCTGGCCCACCCAGCTGGCAAGGACACCTTCCTGCCCTCTCTGCCTCGAACCTCAGGCCATCTGAGAGTCCCGGTCAAGGGTGAAGGATTGACCCCTTGTGGGCCTTTACTCTGCAGGACAGTTGCTTTGGTTTGCTCAAGGTGGGGTTGGCACAGTGGCCCTGGGTCTCCCTCCCTGAGGATGCGAGTGTGACAGGTATGTGCTCGTGTCCCACTGGCCTGTGCTGTAGCCACAACTCGGATGCTTCCACACATGTGGCCCGTGGTTGTGGGTGACTCTGTCAGGGCTGGGGGCTCAGGGCAGGTGCTGCCGTCTGGAGCCTCCAAACGGGGCAGGTGGCTCTGGGTTAATAACCAGAATAGTGACAGCGGCTCATGGTTTTCTCATATTGGTCTATGCCAAGTATAGTCCCAGCATGCTCTGGTTTTCAACCTACGTCACAACCAGCTGAATTTTGTGGTTTAGAGACTCAGCTCGTCCCAGGCACTTGGCCCGGGGAACCATGGAGTCCAGGCTCTCACCTGCTGGCCTCTGTTCCCGAGTCATGGCATGGAGCTGGGAGCAGGACAGGGAGGGAGGGAGGGAGGTGAGACCTGCCTAACAGTGTGCCCACGGGGAAGCTGCTATGTGTCCCTGGGCCCAGACCCAGGTGGAAGTAAGTTTCTGAAAGAAGGTGGGACAGAGGTGGTGTCTCTGCTTACAAATGCCCTCTCTCACTGGGTGAGGCCCCACGTCTAGAAGAGAAGGCACTCATTCATTCATTCGTTCATTCACTCATTCAGTCATCCAACAGATTTCCTGAGTGCCCACTCTGCACTGGGAACACGGCATGACCAAAATAGGTGGTTTCTGCCCTCTCAAGGGCAGGCAGTGCCGGGGCAGTGGGGGCTGTTCTCCCATTTGGGGGAGGGGTCTGAAGGTGGGCAGGAGCCATGTGATACCTGGGAGAGACAGACCAGCAAAGGTCCTGAGCGGGGCATGGCTGCACATCTGAGGAATGGCGGTGGGGGGGCTGCCCATCACATAAACGTGCTCAGGACTTGGGCTGCTACTCTGAGTGAGCTAGGAGAGGCCGCTGAAGGATTCTGAGCTGAGTGGGACAGCATTACCTGCATTGTTACAGATGCAGACCAGGCAGGAAGGATGAAGTCCTCCACATGCCCTGAGATGGGGGGCGGGGCAGGCAAGCAGGACCTCAGCCACACAGCACAGTCCTTTCTCCATCTTGCCTGAGGGAGGCGGGCTGGGAATGCTGAAAGGCCTCATTATAGGTCCTGGGATCCAGGGGCCCCTGGGACAGACCTCCAGACCCCACAGGCACAGAGTCCTGGCCTACTGACTGTAAGAAGCACATTTTATCAAATTTCAACATCCTGGAAACAGCAAAGCATCTGTGATTGATGGTGTCATAGTTAACAGAATACAGTTCAAAACCCCTCAAGTTTTGAAATCACCACGTGTCTAGCTTTTGATTCTTTTCCATCTCCCTCTGGCAGTGGTCTGGTCTTTGTTCTGTAAATCCTGGTGCCCTGGCCTGTGTCAAGGCTGTTGGGGGAGGAAAGAGAAGAAGATACAACTTTTGCCATCAAGGACACTGATCTTTTGGTTGGAAGAATATGATGAAAATAGGAGAATAAGAGTCAGAATGCCAGGGCAGATGCCAGGGACAGAGGAGACCCTGGGCCCCCAGAAAGAGGCAAGATTGATCCTGGCAGGTCAAGTGGGGCAGCCACTGTGGAAAACAGTGTAGCTGCTCCTCAGACTATCAAACGTCAAGTCACCACCGGCCCAGCAATTCTGCTCCTACACTCAGACCCGGGAGGAGTGAAAGCACACGTCCACACACTGACACACGAATGTTCACCACGGCACTATTCACAACAGTCAAAAGTGGAGTCAAACCCAGTTGCCCATCAGTGGATGAGTGGATAAACAAAATGTGGTCCATCCACACAGTGGAATATTACTCAGCCATAAAAAGAAATGAAGCACTGACACGTGAACCCTGAAAACATTATGGTGAGTGCAAGATGCCAGTCACAAAAGGCCACATATGATTCCATATGAAATGTCCAGACTAGGCAAATCCATAGAAAAAAGTAGATTAGAAAAGACATAGAAAGTAGACTGGTGGTTGCCAGGGGCTGGGGTGTGTGTGGAATGAGGAGTGATTGCTAGTGGGGACAGGGTTTCTTTTTGGGGTGATGAAAATATTGTAAAATCAGATGGTGGTGATGGTTGCACAACTTTGTAAATATACTAACAAAACTGAATTGTACACTTTAAAAGTGTGAATTTTATGATACATGAACTCTATCTCAATTTAAAAAAACATCCTGAATGGAAACAAAGGTTGATTTTGGCTGGAGTTGACATGTACCTAACTTGGCTGTGCACCGACGCTGAGGCTGGGATTGGGTATGAAAAGTGTGAGCTCCAGGACCCAGGCTTGGTCCTGGCACACAGTAGGGGCACTATAAATGTCTGTTGAAGGAGTGAGCCCAGGACCCCACTGCATAGTTAATAAGCGGCTGCCCTAGGGATCACCAGGTCTGTCTGACACCCTCTCGACAAGCCCCTTGTAGGAAAGAGGGACAGATTCTCCACGGGTGAGACCTGCTGGGTGCCGGGGAGCACGAAGCAGAGGAGGGACCACACAGGGAGCCACAGGGGTGAGGGTGCTTGACAGCCAGGCTCAGCCGCAAGCTGGGTGGCCTCAGTAGCCCCAGATCACCTGGGCCAGGGCAGGTGTTTCTGATGCCCGGGAGGGCCATCAGCGATGGGACAGCGATACCCTGGCTCTGAGCCCAGTGCAGCCCCATCAAGGGAATGAAGCCCTCGGCCCCCTGCAGGGGCCGCTGCTGCCTGACCTGTGCAGACACTGAAGCAGCACCCCTGAGGGGAGACTGCAGTTGGGGTGCCACAGTTCTGCCCCTCCCGGCCCCAGGGCCGACTGCCGATCTGAGTGGAGATGATAGGGTTACCTTGTGCTATGCTGCTGACCTATTTTCCAGCACATTGATGCTGAGAACTTGGCCCAAATCTCAAGTTTCCTGCTGTGTGCCCAGGGCCTTGCCCTGAGCATCGAGGAGGCACTCTGCACACAGCCATGAATGAAAGAACAAACAAATTAATGAAGTGAATGAATGAATATCATGAAAAAAATGACTGCAGGGAGGGAGAGACGGTCACAGAGGTGGGGCCACCTGCACCCCATCTCCCCAGGCCCTGTTCCTGGATTCAGGGCCCCTCCCTTGAGCATTTTGAGGATGCTGAGTGGGTCCTGTGTAGGCTCAACCTCCTGAGGGCAAGGCTGTGGCCTCTCACTTTCATTGTGGCCTTTCTGCAGACGTGACAGGGGGTGGGGCTAGAACCTTGGTTTTCCAAAGGTACCAGCTGGGAACCTTCAAGAAAGGCATTCTGCGCCACACCCCCACACACTTCCCACCTCTATGTCTGCACACTTGGCTGTTAAGAAATGACTGTTAATTCGTTTAGGTGCAAAAATGGTATTTTAATTATACTCTATAAAAATCTTATCTTTTAGAGACAATTTCAGAAATACTTATGGATGAAATAATATGTCTAGATTTGCTACAAATTGCTACTGAAGGGAGGTTGGTGGTGGTCTAGTTGAGCAGGCTGGGAGGTGGCACAGGAGCTTGACTGTACTGTTCCCTCTACTCTCTGTGTGCTCTGCACTCTCCAAAATAAAGTTCTCAAAAGTCAGTGAACTGAGAATGACAGTCACAGCCACCCACCTGTGACCTCGTGCCATCCACGGAGTGGAGATCACCAGCCCACTGTGCAGGCAGGAAAGGGCTATGGGGTAATAAGTGTGAGCCTGCCGAGCATGGCCCCGGCTGCCCCACTGTGTCCCCAGCCCCACCCCAGGGCCCGCACAGAGTAGGCACCTAGTAAATACACGTCTGTACCCTGAACGGGTCAGGTCTCTCAGAACCCAACCAGTGAGTGAGATTCAGAAACTGAACAGTTTTAAGCTCCTCTCCCAATGCCTTCCCTCTGCTTTCTCCCTCTGGACCCCACAGCCCTGCAGGGGAAGGGCAGCTGTCTCCACGACATGGAGGCTCAGAGGGGCCTGGCTGCTTTGCCCACATCTCACAGCTCTGTGCTCCCCCGCCCCGCTCTCCAAATCTTCCCCTTCACATCCCCACAAAGCTACCACTGGGAACCCCCAGGGGGCCTGGCATCGTCAGTGGCAAGAAAAAGCTGGATCCCTCCCACACATGACAAAACAAAGAAAACTCACACCCACTAGCCCCCGGGGTGTGTCTGTTGACCCTTGCAGGGAGGTGACAAGGGCCCCCAAACAGCCATCTGGAATGCACCTGCCTAACTCAGACTGCAGACACGGGGCAGGGGGGGGGCGGGGGGGCACTGCTTCTGAATGCCTCCCAGACCAGCCTTGTGGGCTCCAGAGGAGGCTGCTGGTGTGGCTAGGGGACCTCTGGCAGGTCCTTGTGTGGGCAGGGAGTGGCTCCTTGGGATGGGACCTCCAGGAAACCCAGTATGCATCATCTGGGGCCTGGCCACGCCGGTGGAGGAGCCCTGCAGTTTGCATCCAAGTTCCTAGGCCAATGACACCCCCAAACCCTTTCTGAAAGGGCTCTGAGAGGGATTCCTGCAGTTTTCCTCCCATCATCAGCCATCACCTTGCTGGGGCCAGATTCCGAGGGGGACACCTAAGATAGGATCCCAACGTCCAAGTACCAGGCAGCTGACAGAGCCAGGCGAGGAGGGGTCACTCCGTGCACACCTGCTCTCCCAGATGTGTGCGCCCCGCACCTCGCCCAGGCCAAGAACCCCTGCAGGCGTAGGAGCCCCCCGCAGGCGTGCCGGGGGCACGCCACGCCGACCCTATCTCAGCCCCGTGCCCTGCAGGATCCCGGCCGCGGCCTCCCCGCCCTGGCCCCGGGAGTCGCGGCTGGGGTGAACAAAGCAGATGCGCGGCCAGGCGGTCAGCGTCGCCCTCAAGCCTCACCGACCCGGACCCCAAACACCGGCCCTGGCACGCCCCATCTCCCGACCCCCGGATCCCCGGCTCGGCTGAGAGGGGGTTCAGGACGAAACTCTGGACCACCCACCCAGGAGCGCGCCACACGCGGCTGCCGGGGCCAGGAGCGCAGAGGACGAGGGGGCGGGGACGCGGTCTGTGCGCCCCCAGCCCAGAGCGGGGGCCATTCCCGGGAGGTGCCCCTGGCCCGGCTCCCCCTGCTCCGCCCGGGCAGCGGGGACTCGGAGCTGCCGGTGGGTCTTGGCGGCCCCTGGGCGCGGCCGGTAAGTGGGCCCGGAGGGAAGGGGCTGCAGCTCGCTGCGTGGAAGGCGGAGCTCGGGGGCTCCCGGGGGCTGGGGCCGCACTCACCTCCCGGGCTGGCGCCCTCCGGGGGCTCCATGCGGCCGGTGGGGTCTGGGAGGGGCGCGGGCGGCGGCGGCGTCACCCGGCCCGGACGCCCCTGCAGCTTCAGCGGCGACTCGGCCCAGGCTCC